GCAGCTCTCCTGCAACTCATACACAACTGATGATCTTGCGGTTACCAGTGACAAGTTAACAGCTCTGTTTACTCCCCGCCGTATTTTGTTTGACTATTTTGTTTTAATTCGACTAAAGCAAAAGGATGTTTTGATTCTGTTTTAGTTGGGGGGGGGGAAATAGGATGTGACTTATGTCTGCTTTTGTTTTCATGCCAGCTTCAACCACACACCTATTTTAAAGCTCACAGGCCTCTTCCTCTTCTTTTTAATCATGCCAAAATCTGAAGTTACAGGAGCATCTGTTGAGTGCAGCTTGAAGAGATCCGCAGGGATCCTGTAACACATTGCTTAGGGATTAGCATTCAGGGAAGGCAAGTGGAATTCAAAGGAGAAAGGGATCCACATAACATGGCAACATAAGGAAGTCGCTGAGCCGCGGGGAGAAAAATACAGATGGGAGTAACGAAGGTCACGGCTGGGCCAGTAAGTGCCGACCGACGGGCTGCCGGGAGGGCGTGGCGGGCGGCTGGCACGCCGTAAGGGCCTGGTGCAAGGGGAATACTTGGCCTTGCTACAGAGATCCAAGGGCCGGCTGCTCCTCGCGCAGGTCAGCGCAACGCTTCCTTTCAAAACAAGAGCAGCTCTGTCTGCAAACGCATCCATGTTTGGTTCGTATCTAGGAAGCAACTGATCCATCTGCTCTTCCACTTAAGAATATGGATGACGAGAAAGTGACTGGCTCGGCTCCAGCAGGAGCAGGAAGCTCCCTCCTCTGCTCATTGTAATGCGGGGAAGCGTCTGGGAGGGCACCTGCAGCCCCCGGAGCAGCCAGCTTTCCGACCTGGCATTTCCCGGGGTTGCTGCATTAGTCCTTAGGGCTTTTGGCATTCAGACGGAGAAGAATTCAGTCCAGCCGTGGAGATGCCAAATCATAGTTCTCTGCAGACTTTTGGCTCGGAGTATAAAGATGTTTATCCAGCTGCTGTAATCAGAATGGTATCAGGAACAGAAAAGTTATCTTGTGGAAAGGTGAACAGATTTCCAGCTCTTTCAGCATTAGGTAAAACCTCAGAAGCGGGGCAGAAGAAAGAGTTTCAATCCTTGCAACTTCTACCTCAAAACTGAAACCTGAGAAGTTAAGTCTGTGGCAAATAGCTGACAAAGTTTTACTAAAAAAAACATTCT